TTTTCGGGCTTCGCGGGGGATTCCTTCGCTGTGATGAGATTTACTCCAGGACCTCCTGCCCTTTTGGAGGCCTCTTCATTCTGGAGTAGGGACTTGTGGTATCATCCATCACAAAATCGTACAGCACCTTCACCCAGGAGTTGTAGTGGGGCAGGTTGTCGTAGTATTCCGCTGCTATTTTCCTCACCTGGACAGGAAACAATACAGCAGGGTGAGCAGCGACAGCCAGGCCATCGAAGGTGACGGCTGAGTGATCCACACACACAGGGGAGGACCCAGCACCAAACCATCCAGGGGACAAAGCCTCTGCTCACAGCACTCCAGGTCTTCTGGGATTCTCCCCTGAAAGGACGATCTACAGGACACACTGCTCCCCCCGCACGCACACATACACAAACAGGCTTGCATCATAATCCACACTGCTTCGGGCAAAACCAGCAGCCCTCAGCTCATCTCCACCACTAGAGCAGGACAACACTAGCTTTGCACAAGCACGGGTCCAAGCAAGCAGCTGACTCCCAAAACTGCTGGAGACTGAAAGTGCATTAGCAATCCCGGTACAAAGAGGAAGGTGATGGTCTGTACCTGTTATGGACATATACTGAAAAGCTAATAACCTCCCTGCCATCAGGAGCTCCACATTCTAGAAACTGTACTAAGCACGTGTCTGACTCAATTTGAGTGGTGGCATAATGAACCTGCGGATATCTGTGTACCCCGCAATGTTGTCACAAATGGAAAACTATACATTTAAAAGTTGTTTACGCAGTGTAAACCTCAGTAAAAATACATGAAAGTTAGCCATGATGTAGGTCCAGGTGGAGCACCTGACTACCACGCACAAGGCCTTGGGTTCACTTCTGTATGCTGCTGCTCACGGCGGCGTGCACATATAATCCCAGGGCTCGGGAAGCCGAGACACCAGGATCAGCTCAGACCAAGAGTGTGAGAAGAGGCTGAGCAAAATAGCAAGACACTGTCTGAGACTGAAAAACAAAACAGAAACCCTACGATATAAACCGTAAAGTGAAGACGTTAAATCAAAACCGAGCTATTGCTGCAAATGTTCTAATACTGACCACAGTGACGGTTGCAGAACGCTGAGTATACGAGAAGCGCTGACGCAAACGCTTTCCGTGAGTAAGCTGCAGGTGAGCTACATTTACTAGAGCTGTTAAAAAGCACTTCACTACTGCATACTTCTTAATGACGCAGCAGACAGGACGTAACTACTATAAACTATGCCATAAACAGCAAGGGTCACTGAGGAAAGAACAAGATTCTCTTCAGCACGCAGCACAGAGGGCAGGAAAATTGAGATGCTGTGTGTCCCCTCAGCTGAGGCACGAGCAGGCACCGTGAGCGAGTGAGCAGTCACCGCGCGTGTCAGGAGCCTGCGGTCACACAGCCTCTGGACCGCGCCGCGGTTCCTCAACCTGCGCTGCTCCCGAAACCCGTAAGGGAGACCAGGGGCTCGTGGGGCAAACTCCTCAGCTGAAAGGGTGACTGCTTTTTCCTGAAACCATTTCCCTCCTAAAAGAGCTCCAGTCCCCAGCCCGAGGCTGCACACTCCCTGTGGGGCTGCTCAGGGCACAGCGCACTGCCCCGCCGCTCCCCGTCGTCCTCAGAGGGTGCTGAGCTGCCTCCTCCCCGGTTTCATTCTGAAAAGTGAAACCTGCTGAAAAGGTGAAAGCGGAGTGGAAGGAGCACTCGTGCCCTCGACCCGTTTCACCAGCGAGTCACCGTCTGCCCGTGCTCCTCCACGCGTGCCGTGTGTGACAGACCCACACGCTGCTCTCTTTGGGATGCACCGCGTTAAAAGTGAGTTGCACGTGTACGTGACAACCACGCCTACTGCAGGCATTTCATCTCTCAGTACTTCAGCACGCGACGCCAAGGGACATCGTGCTTCAGAGCCACTGGATCAGAATCACGCTGCAGCAATGTCACGCTGAGGCAGTATTACCTAAGACGCAGCCCAGACCCACAATTTCCCCAGTGACTGGAGGTATTTTACGGCTTTTTCTTTGCTAAATTGGGTACC